GGTCCTCCTCAGCTGCGCTGACGCGCTGTCACCGCGCTGTCACCGCGCTGTCACCGCGATCTACCGCGATGTCGAGGTGCAGGCTGCGACGAAGACCGTCGTCTCTGCACCGAGGCCTGGCTCGAAAGCACGATCTGCATGCTCCATGACCGTCTTCATCCTCGTCTAGTATGGCTTTGCAGTCGTTGAAGAGAAGGATGCGAGTTAGTGCGAAACGGAGACCAATCAGTCCTCGAAGTTTTGCCCAGTGTTCTCTTGTCATGAAGGCGGCGTAAGGCTTCTGGCTTAGGTGCCAGCGATGCAGAGATCAGCTGAAGGGCAATAGACGCCCAAGTGAAAGGGATCGGAGTGAACGGACACATTTCGGGACCGCAGTGTGCGCGCAAGACGGGCCCCCAGTGCAGAGGCCTTCGGCTCCAGCCGGACTGGTGGGGCCCAACTTGGAAGTGCCCTTGAACAAGGACGGGCCGGGGGCGAGGGGCGGGCAGCATTCGTTTGAACTCTTGCCGCCTGCGTGCATGTTTCCGTCAGGGGGTGGAGAAGCTCTCGGCCATGGAGGCGCAAGCCAAGCGCGACTGGGAGTCTGTGTCGCATCGCGTGGGCTTGCCTCCAGGTGTACCAGCTCCTCCGGGCAGGGCAGTCTGCCCCTCAGCACCAGGCCACAGGCTGGTGGCAAGTTGGCAAACTTCGCGGATTCGACAATTACGTCAGAGTTTTGAGGTGTTTGGTGGTGGACGTGCGGTCGGCCGATCGTGCCTCCGGCCATATCCAGGCATTGCAGCGGTGTTTCGCGCAGGGTCCGCTTGGGTGTCCTGTCTCTGGATCGCTGCAGGGGTCGGTGCACGAACCCACCAGCTTCCAGGCACCCCTTTTGAATCGAGCGGGGCCGCCAAGAAAGGGAGCCGGTGCTTTGGGGCGGAAGTCGCGGCCGCCACATCGACTCCATGTGAGGTGCCGGAGCTGGTGCAGAAGTTTTCGAAGGAGAAGCTGGTCGCCAGCAGCTGAGAATCCTGCTTTTCGCCTGTTGTATCATGTTGTGCTGCTTGTCAGTGACTGCGCCATGTCGACTCCATGCGCAAAGCAGCTGAGATTTTCCACTGCCAGTACTCCCTGCATCGTGGTCCACAGCGGGATGCCAAGTCTACTGTGATGGTTTGAGGCAACCGTTCGCAGGTCCTCGAGTTTCGTTGATCGGGCTTCTTCGATGCACATGTTTTTCAAAAGTCACGGTGTGTATGGGATGTGTTCGGGCATGTTCGATGTAGGTAAACCGTCGGTCCGCACTGGGGGCCGGAGTGAGGTTCAGCACAGGTGATCTTAGACAACACGGCAGGTGCGCGAACTGGTATCGCGAGCAGGCACCGACCTCGCAGCAAGGGCCTTGGTCTCTGGAGAACTTCCGCAGTCCTTTTTCCTTTAGTTGTGTTGAGTTGTGCTCTCACGTTCGTGCCGAGCGCCCAGAGTGAATTTCACCCGACGGTCGAAGATAGCATCGGATTACTTCTGCCTGCGTCCATCGTGAGCAGCCTTGGGCAAACTGCGTGGTTGGGTGTTGTGACTTCATGGTGAAGCTCGCTGCAAGTGTTCATTTAAATGCTTTTTGCAAAAGTGATAAACCACATAGTGAACACGGTCCCAGCAACAAGGTGTGTCAGACCTTTCGTGCGAGAATCGTTGGCGTGACACTGGTCGTGAGTGTTATCAAACTTAGGCAAGCAAGCTCGGACAATATTGCAGGCTTTGTGGCTGAAGTAATGAATTCAGGTTGCACGGCCCTAAAGCTGTGGATGCGACAGCACACTGAGCATTTTCGGATTGGGCCGTCGTACCGCTGTTTACGGACAAAAGCCAGAAACCGCATGGTTGCAAAACAAAGGATGCGCATGTGTTGAGCAAGGGTTGTACCGCCACATCGTCATGAGTATACGGCTGTGATCCAACCTTCGCTGTCTTTTGTCTTCGGAGTCCTCAACCTGATGCGAGCCGCTGTTCACGGGAAGGCGAGTGGCCGTGCTGGAGGGAGGCTACCGTGGCTGGGAAGGCCAGCGACTACCGGCAGGGAGCCTCAGCCTAGGATGCCTTGCTGCTGCAGGCAGTGTGTGCACGTGGCATGGTGCAGCCGCCCCGCAACGAAACTTGAGTCTTTTTGTTTTTATCTTTGTCCGATCTTGTCACTCTGTTCCGCATGAGGGGACGGGTGTTTGCTGGCCGGCTGCAGGTCGTCCGCGAGCAACCCATGGATGCCCATGGGCAGGCTGGGTGCACCAAGCAGTCGCTGTGGTTACCTCGCGCCAGCACGCAGATTAGGGCTTGAGGATGTTGAAGGCGGAGTGGGATGTGCATGGCTGCAGTGAGTTCTGCTTCAGTACTTCGGAGCGCCAGGCCTGCGCTGACAAGTATGCTCTCTCAATGGGCAGGCGAGTGGCAGGCAAGGGTTCTGGGCATTCTGGGGCTTTGTTCCGGTTGAATTGAACGGAATGGCCTTTGATGGGCTCGCTGCGCTTCGAAGGTGCTGGCGCGTGAGGCTGCACCGGTCCTGAGTTTGATTTTAGGCTGCGGTATGATCGGTATGACGGACTTTGCTCTCTATTTTTTTCTCTTAGCCAGAGCCAATGGCAGCAGTTAAGATGTGGCAAGTCGGAAATGAGGAGTAGTTTCGACAATGGCAGTGTCACGCAGCATGCAGCATACCCAAGGACGAACTTGCTGGGGCGGGCTGTTGTTGTTCCGTCTTGTTGCTGTTCCCGGCGAAGAACGCTGGGCTCTCTGGCGAACATACTCGACGAGCCTGCTGCGCTTGCCAGGGAGCCGAAAAGAGTGGTTCTGATGGGCGGTTGGCCCAGTCGGTGATGGTACTTAGCACCCCAGCTTGCACACTGACTACCTGCGACGTAAAGCGGCACGGGGTCTCCTGAATCCGTGGCAATGTCGATTCAACGTGGCGTGGAACGGTGTGGAACTTGTGCTGATCTTTCCCAATGTTTGTTCCCTTCGCTAGTGGCCCTTCATCCAGTCGAGTCAAGGGGATCTTCAAATAACAGATCGTTAGTCATGGGCGCATTGGAGGCCGGTGGATGGTCCGTGCATCGTGCTATATCACACCATTATGGCATTAACGTGAGTCTGACTTAGGCGGAGGTGAACAGGAACGTTGAGGGCCGTACAATGGTATACAGGCCTGAGGCAGTCTAAGCAGATCCTGAAGCCCAGCAGCGTTTTTTTGCCTAAGCCGAGTGCCACGGTGATTTTCATAACAAGGCATTCCGAATGATCCGCATCGATGAGCGTGCGAACAGATCTGGACACCCCAATCCACATCGAGCAGCTGGAAAGCAATGCGAAGTGTAGCACGAAGCATTGGTTAGCCTTCGCCACACGTGGCAGCAATGGCTCGCAACGTGCAGGGCCCAGACTGGCCCACACTGAACGAAGCCTTGAGAGAGCGGATGCCTCTCCGCTTGCAGCCCAACAGACTTTGCAGAGGTTTCGTACATCAACGCGCCCGCGGCTCCGATGATGCCGTGGCGCAACGAGGCACCCGTCGTGACCATGCCGCCGAGACAGTGCCTGCCTCGGGCCAGGGCAGAAATCTTGCGGAGTGGACCTTTGGGAGATGTCGCAGTTGCGGGTGAGGGTCGAGCGAGGATCTATGTGATGCCACTCGCGGTGCCACCGACACCAGTGAGCTACCCGGCCCACCAGGCTGGCTGTGAGCTGCTGGAGCGGAATCTTGAGTCCTGTCCGCACATCTTGGTCAGTCCTTCTGGCCCTATTTTCCGGCCCCGGCCCAGCCTGTGCGTACCCCAGAGAGGGTGCAAGTGTGCTGGCATTATGGCGCTGCTGTTGCAGCTGCCCGCGATACCATGGAGTGAAATCTCAGGTTAATGTGCCCTTGGCACGACCCGTGGCTCCCACCACAAGGCTCGCAGCTCACCCTTGTGGCACAGTGCTTCGGCAACCTCCCGGCTGAGGGATAACCTGCACTGAGGAGTAGGGTGCAAGCCGAATTTGGCTCTTGGCTCTCGACATTACATGCCCACATTCCATGACATTGCGTGGGCGGTCGCCATCACCCGAAAGCTATTCGAAGCAGGTGGTTAGCACCTGGCCCGCCGAAGATGGACTGCCCTACCGACTGTTGTCCACGTTACCTGCTTCCATCTGCTTCCCGAGCGTGTTGCTCAGGAGCACGTCCAAGCACCCATGGCCAGGAACTGAGAAGATCTCCTTCACGGAGTCAGTGCCGGTCTTCTGCTGCGCTGACGTGTTGTCCTCCCATCCTCTGCGATATCAAGGTGCAGTGGATGACGAATCCGGTCGTGTCTGCACCCAGGACTGGGCTCGAACTCCATGCATCTTACGCATCTTAGGGTTTTCTGGCAGTTTTGACATCGCCCACGCAGCTATGACTCGAGAAAATACGGTCAGTGAGATCATTCTTTGTTCAAGAAGTTGCAAAAACATGCCATGCAAAGCAACTTGTGAGACCATGCTGACATGCTGCGCTCTCGCAAACGGCCAGGTCCGGCAGAACATGCAGACATCAGAAACAAGAGCAAGCGCCAACGATGTCATTGTGTACTGTGAAAACACTGCTGCTTCATGTTGTTTTATCATTTGTCAAGGACGGCTGCCAAAAACTGTTCACTTATAATCACATCTTGATCAAGCGCCATTCCTCGTTCGCATCACAAGCTTTACAGCAGGCCACTCATTCTGCGGCTCATGCTGCAGCCAGAAAGGCAAAACAAAAAACAGTCCCCATATCATCCACGTAGCACCAGGGAACATCTGAAGTACACGCGGAAATGCGCCCGGTGGTCAAGACCCATTCGATAGCAGCTATGTATCGGCAAGCTGCCTGGTGTCTTTCAATCAGCCTATGCCAAAAACTTGCCGCGTTAAGCACCACTCTTGGGGTCTTGCAAAGAGGCAGGCGCAGGCATCAAACACGCTCGGCACCATGTACTGTGGGTACGTGTGGGTACATGTTTGTGACAGCATCGTTGGTTCGTAGTTTTTCGTTAGCGCTAGCTGCACCGCCCCCTCCGTCAGTACGGTGTCAGTGCGGTGCAGTCTGCCTAGACTCTGACATCAGGGGCGAACGGAAGAGTCAACAAGCGTGTCATCATCATGACTCGTACGATGCTTTGTGCAATCGTTGCCGTCATCGTCGTTATCGTCGTCGGCGTCACTGTCGTCGTCATTCACTCCAGGCCTTTCCCTGACAGTCATATGTTTCGCCTTCCTCACCAGCAGGTGGCGTG